TATGATTTAGTACCTAAAAATTGAAAAAATCGTAGTTATTGTATGTTGAATAATGTTACATGGTCATATTCTGATAGAATGCTCTGTATATGAACCAGAATAATGTTGATATTCTGGTAGATTTGTAATATTTGGAAGAAAAATGTGTTTAAATTTCGTATTTTATTAAGAAACTTGAAAATGTTCTGAACTTTAAGTTGTTATATCGTAGTCATTGTATGTTGAATAAGGTTTCATTTTTTATATTCTAATAGAATGTTTTGTGTATGTCAACCTAAATATTGTTAATAATCTGGTAGAGTTGTAATCTAATTTTTTAAATTTAAATAGTTAATTAGCATGTTTAAGTGAAAAATTCATAGTTGTTGTATGTGGAATAAGTATGCAAAAAACACGTTCTATTAGAATGTAATGTGTAGAAGAACTTGAACATGGTTGATATTCTGACAGAATAAGTGTATTTGTTTTACTAGTTAGCATTGTAAGATAAATTTCTATACTGAAGCAGTTAAATAGCATTTTATATATAATTTTAATTCTAATGGAACCATAGTATGTAGATGATTAATGAATGATACTGAAGAATTGATAGTTACTGTATGTAGAATAAGGTTACATGTTTCATATTTTGGCTGAATTGTAATCTAAATTTCTATATCTAAGTGTTTGTATGTGAAATAAGCTTAGATGTTTCATATTCTAAAAGAATGTTCTATGTATATGAAACTGAAAATGGTTGATATTCTGCTAGCATAAGTCGACTTGTTTGACTATTAAACACTCCTAAATAGAATGTGATATTATATATGAGTGTGAAATTTGATTGTATGAATCTGATAGAATTCTAAATTAAATGTATTTGATTCTTGTAGAGTTAGCCTACTTGTTTTATTAGTTAACTCTGTAATGAAAATTTATGCTATCTATTGTTTGTTGTAGCAGATCAAATTCATGAAGAAGAACATTTGAACCGAGAAAGAAGGTCAAAGAAAAAACTTGATAAATCAGTTGAACAAAAGACAACTCCTAAACCTTTAAATGCACTAATTTTGGAAAGAGAGATAAAGTCGAAGAGGCAATTTGATAGAGTTCCAATTGTAAAACATTTTAAAAATAAGGGAATTGCTGAAAATGTCAAAGAAGAAAAAGAAGATAATGTTAGAAAAACAAATAAGGAATACCCACCTGGTTTAAGATACCTTCCAACCATAATGAAATGTGATAACATCACTGCAGCTGTTATGGGAATGTCGCCGGAACAGAAACAAGCAATCTTGAGAATGGGTTTTGGATCAATTCTGCAAGTGAATATTACAAGTTATCCGGGACAACTTAGCTACTATCTTTTAGATGTTTATGACGCAGATAGTAAAAGACTTGTCCTACAAAACTCTGTTATTGAGATAACAGAACAAACAGTGCATGATATGATGGGGTTGCCATTTGGTGGAGAAGACATCAATGAGTTACCATTGTGTGATAAGGGAAATCAAATTCTAGAAGAATGGAGGGGACAATATAGTGGTGATAAGTTCAATGGTGAGGAGTATTTAAGAAGGATTCAGGCTACAACGAAGGATAATTTGATGTTTAGGCTGAATTTTTTGACCCTATTTGTTAACAACTTCATAGAGTCAATGTTGATGGGAACAAATCAAATAAAAGTGGTAAGGAAGTTGGTGTTGGTAGAAGACTTCTCAAAGTTAAATTGGTGTAAATATATGCTTGATTGTTTGGGATCTAGAAAAAAACTATGGAAAAGGGATGACAAATCAAGCTACTACAGTGGTCCTATTACACTTCTGATTGTAAGTTTGAAATATTTTTATATGAATGTATATATTTCGTATCGATTTATTATTGATGTATTGATTAAGTTAATGTTTTTTTTTTCAGTTGGTGTACGTGTATAACATGAAGTATTCTATCAAGATAGACAAAAGGCTTCCTTTTATTGGGCATATAAATGGTGCTAAATTGTTAGAGGTTCAAAAATTAGAAATCAGTTTGGGAGGGTTCAGGAGGCAATTTCGGGATGAGCATGATGATGTCGATATGGTCGATGAAACAGGAGCTGAAGAACAGCAAATGCTAAGCTTTAAGAGGGATTTTGGAGATGAAGAGGTAATATTATGGTAGATTATGAAGTAAATATTATGAAAGTAATAGTTAATGATATATTCTAATAGAATATATAGTACACATTTTTGTAATGTTATCATTTATTAATTATATGTGTTTCAGGCGTACGCAGCTGTTATAGAGCATAGTTATGGGGTTATTGTAACAGAGAAAAGTACTATGGAGGTTGCGTTGAAGGATGGGTTGTTAAAATTCCCTCATAGTGTGGTGCTGAATGAGTGGATGAAGAAAATGAATGAACTTTTTAAGGGAGTGTTTAAAGGGGCAGGTAACCAAAAAGTGCATGAGCCTGCCTGCTTTAATGAGGTAAATATGAATGATGTAGGTGATGGCGGTGAAGGAAATAGTTCACCTATTAGAGGATTGATACTTACTGAAGTAAATACTGAAAAGGACGACAATTATACCACACCTGTTGATACGACTTCTTTAACAATGACTCAGTTTCATCGACTTCCAGGGGTGAATGACGAAATGATCAAGTTGTTGGAGGAAACTGAGTTACAAGTGTATAAAAAGAAAAAGCAAATGTCAATAATCAGTGGGGATAATCTGGTAGGAAGAAATATAGGAGAAGCTGTTGATAATGCTGGAGGATATGATGATAATGACAAAAGGGAAAAACGTATTCCTAAAAAAGCAAAAGTATTTAATTCGCCCAATATTGAAAGAATTGTTAAGGTTGGGGAAAAACTGTCTAAGGATGAAACATGGATATGCAATTTAGTTTTTGCATCTACAAGAGATGATGGGTATATATATATATATATATATATATATATATATATATATATATATATATATGTGTGTGTCACCTATTATATTTCTATAACTTTAAAATGAATGTTTTAAAATTGATGTTATACATATTTTTTTCACAGGGATGAGATTTGGGACATTGGAACAGGTCATTTGCTGCACCAGGGTTTTGCATATCAATTTAATCATGGAATGTTTTTGCATTCTAAAATAATTGATTGTTGGGCTGCGTTTTTAAATAAAATGGAAAACTACAAGGATGAGTCATCGCTTTCAAGATTTTTCTTCGATACAACTATTGTGGTATGAATTTATGTTGTAAAAAAAAATTTAATTCAAATTTATTTCTGTAGAATTAATATTGATGTTGAGTTGGGGTTTTTCAGACAGAAGATATATTGAATGAGCTAAAGTCGGAAGATATGAAATGTAGGCTTTTTGCTACTTTATTGCGAATCTACACTAAGAAATTTGATGTGAAGCCAAGTTTTAGAGACGTTGCACTTGTAAGATTATTTTATAAATATAATATTTGTGGCATCAATTAATATTAACGTAACCTCTTCTTTTAATGTGTACAAGGTTTTCTTCCCAATAGTTGATGATGGAAAGTATTACTTACTCATCTTTGATCTGAAATCAAGTTTGTACTACATAGTAGATCATGTGAAGAGAACAGGAACTTTGGAAAGAAAGTATGGCATGATACCAAACCTGGTGGTAAGATAATCAATAAATTTCTGATTAATAGTTTTCCATTCTAAGGAATATTATAAGATTATTTTTTATGTATTTGTTGTAATTAATGCCAGAAAAAACTGTTTTGCAACTACTTGACATCACAACATCATCCAATGGCAAAAACGTTAACTTTTAAAGCAGCACGTGTGATGAACATATCTTGGCTAGTCGAAAAAGCTGGAACAGAATGTGGAATATACCTCATGAGGCATATGGAAACGTACATGGGGGAATATGAAGGGCGTTGGGAGTGTGGTCTTACAGGTAAAATGCCTGCTGATGTGAGTGCTACAATTAAGCTAAGGATAAAATACATGGCAAGATTGTTGACATCTGATTTCAATAAGTTCAAGAATATGATAGTTAAAGATATTGAAGCGTTTCGTAAGCTTGACATTTTGGAACAAGATATGCTTCTAAGAGAGTCAGCTGAAAACAGGAAGAAAAAAAGAAAAACAAAGGGTCGTAGGTAAGAATTTGGCGTGGTATTTAATAAGTTGACAGATAAACTTTGATATGTCATGAGCTGAACTTGTTTTTTTGAATGTTGAAACATGACTCTGCCTTATGTTAGATGTTTGAAAAAGTAGATTGTCTATCAGACGTTATGAAGTAATGTTATCAGTAGTATTCGATATATGTTATAATGGAATGGTAATTTTCGTATAATGGGTGTGTTGATGCGTTGTTTAAATTCTAGGATGATGATGTTGTGCATTGTGAAAATCTAAGGTTCTTGTTAGTAATGTAGTTTTCATATAATGCAACTTAATATTACTAATGCATGTGTTGATGTTTTTTTGTTTCTAATAATCTTGTTAATATAATTCAATGTTGTGGTTAATAATGTTTTGTGACTATTGTGAATAGAATTTTTTTTTTACAAATTATATGATGATGATGCAAGGTAGTATTTGTTATGATTCTGGTAGAATACGTTATGTAGATATTATGAAATAGGATATAAATATAATGAATTCTTGTATACAAATTGCATGTATCGTTTGTATATTACAGTAATAATAAAACATTTTTGTTAACATTAAAATCAAACTTAAATGATTGAAAGAATTTGTATATGTTGCTGTAAATTATACAATTGATGGAAATTTTGTATTAGAAGTTTTGAAAATAATGAATTTATACAGTCGATGGAATGAATTTTTGTATTACGTTTTATGAGTATTTTAAAGTAATAAGATAATATGAATATTTTATGTTGATTGACAATGTCATCGTCAATAGTAATAAAAGTGAATACTTTATTGAACGACATAAAAGATAACAATAAGTGTGAATCGACAGAATTAAATCAAATGTCATTCTAATAAACTAAAAAAAAAACAAGGAACTTATTTCTTGGTGTTCTTTAGAGGACAATTTCTTTTGTCATGATGAACCATCTGTTCACATGTAGCACATTTTCTCTTTGGTTTCGAGATTTCCTTCTCAATCATCTCTTTTGTAGATTTTAATCTTTTTCCACGACTACCGCAACCTTTGTTACGAATATTTGTAGGATTCTGAATGTCATTAACATCAGATTCTACATCAGGAACAACCACACCTAAAAGCTGCTTGAAATGATCTGCTCTGGTCGGTAGATCATGATTTGAATAGTCGTCTACGAATTTTTTTTTCAAGTTATTCTGTTCGTCAAGGTATAACTTTAACTTTGCTGCATCGTGGCTCAAAAAAGATACACAACGGTCAACAGTTGAAAAAATATCAATAGCAGTCATGTCGGAAGTAGAATCGTCGAAAGAATTATTGAAGCGTCTTTTCAGTAATTCTGTTGGAATGACATCCCTACGCCAACATTTCAAAATGTACTTTTCAGGAATTTGTTCGATGCCATAAAACTTAAACACACAGAATATGTGTCTGCATAAGATACCTAAATGTTCAAAATGCATACAAGTACATTTGAATGAACCATCTTTAGTTGAGTGTGTGACCTGGAAAATATAAGATGATTAGTGAAAATAATTAAGTTGTAAATTTTTAGTGTTTAAATGTAAATGATAAAATGACAATTAATGTGAAAAAAACATACCATGTATTCAGTATCCCTTATAAGACAATCGTAATTGTATTCCTCATCTTTGTCATCAACATCGACATCATTTGTTTGCCTAATAGTTATGTTCTTTCTTTTCTCCATAACAATAATCGTGTCAACACCGTTGGAAGATATCACATTCTTTTGGAAACAATTATCTTCAGATCTTGATATCTCCTTCTAACCTGATAAAAAATTTTCGTGTATATACATTTGAAGCATGAGGTTCATACGGAGTACGGGTAATGAATTTAGGAAAAGTGGTGGCAGTATTAAAATCATTGAGAATTTGGTTATGTCGTTGTCGTTCCATAACTGATTCAAATGTCATCATAAACATAACAAGATAAGAACCGGTTAGTGTCGTTGTTTGAAATGACCAATTCTGACTTTCAGACAGCGATGTAGTCCGCATAAGACCAGACATTGGAATGTGCTTGAAAAATGCGGGGATCCAAGATTTTCGCAATCCATACATTGTATTCATCCAAGTGTTATCAGTAATTTTAAACTCTTCCAACATCTGACGCCACACATTTTCGAATTCATGTGGTTCCAACTTAGAATTCCAAATTATAGAGTGAAAACGCTTTCGAAATTTTTGATTGGTTGTTGCGTCTTCAATTGATAAAATCTGTATAAATTCATTCTGTTAGAATATGATATCATGAAGTTATAATGTGGAAAATAATTGTAGAATCAGAACAAACGTAAGAGTTAAACCAATTGATTCTGTCAGAATATGATATAATTGTATAATCATAACAAAAAGTAGGAGTTAAAGACAATGGGTTTGTTAACATGAATTGATTCTGTGAGAATATGAGATAACGAATGCAGAATTTTAAAAGAAATTGTAGAATGATAAGAAAAATTAAGAGTTAATGCAATTAATTCTGGTTAAAACAAAACATTCTTCCAGAATATGATATAATTGTATAATCATAACAAAAAGTAAGAGTTAAAGACAATGGGTTTGTTAACATGAATTGATTATGTTAGAATATGAGATAACGAATGCAGAATTTTAAAAGAAATTGTAGAATGATAAGAAAAGTTACGAGTTAATGCAATTGAATGTTTTGTTTAAAACAAAACATTCTGACAGAATATGAGAAAACAATTGTAGAATCATACCAAAAAAATAAGAATAGTATTCTTTTTATGTATACCTTATTTGGCAACTTCTTCGTTATATGCCACATACATAACCTATGATGTGCCAATGGGAAAACCTTATCTATAGCTTTTTTCAAAGCTGGATCTTGATCAGATAAAACCAATTGAGGTTGTTTTCTAAAAGCTTTCAAAAAAGCTCTAAGCAACCATTCATAAGAAACTCCATCTTCTTTACTTAAAAGACCAGCACCAAATGTTACACATTTTTTGTGATTGTCAATGCCAGTAAACGGTACAAAAACCATATCATACCTATTTAAAAAAAATATATAGTTTACATAAATGGAAATAATGAAATTCTTATTGAAAAATATTAAAGGTTATAAATACTTATTCATGCTGAATGTGGCATCGATGATATAACGTCTCCGAATGAATTGTAATTATACTTTGCTGTTTCGTCAGCCCAGAATAAAGAATTCAATCTGTTGTTCGCCACTTTATACTCAAAAGTAAATGATGGGACATTTTTCTTCCTATCATTCATCTTGTCAACAAGGAATTTCGCGTCCCTCCCACCTATGTAACAATTAAGATTCCTCCTAGCATTCTTGAAATCAGTAACCAATCCACCTCGAACCGAAGGAAACCTGAAGAGCACTATACAGTCTATGTGCTTTTACAGGACCAATGTTCTGTTTTGACAAATTATGAATGAAAATTTCTTGGGAATAATCAAGTTTTCTTTTTGAACGAGATAAGTGCATATTGCCTTTGCTAAACAACTCATGATTATGTCGCTCTACAAAATCACTCACGACATATGTAAGAGTACCGGGAATTATTTCTAAAACAACTTTCGCTTTACAATTCCTCCTAAATAGATCTTTCCTTCTTTGAGTCTTCTTATGCTGAATATCTAGAGTATCTAGTTTACTAGTATTCGGATTACCTTCCCGATTGCACACAAGATGTCTATTTGTAATAATCCCATTTTTCATTTTTTGGACTCTTCCAAGCCTGACATCAAAACCAGATTCTAATGCATATTTTCTATACATTGTTTCTGCTTCACCATATGAATTAAATTTTGATGAAATTTTGGTTTGATGTCGTCTAAAACAATCGAGTCCAATACAAGGTGCCACCGGAGAAACATAATCATGAGTAACATGTGGTTGTCCTGCTTAAACATAGCAAATACAAAATTATTATGAAAGAATTATATAACTTTTATTTGACACAATTTTATTTTTTCTGTAAAAAATAAAAAAAAAATTCTGAATTAAATTGGTACCTTCAATGAAATCAATATTAAACTCTATATCTTCATGAGTAACATGTGGTTGTCCTGTTTAAAATAGAAAATACATAATCATTCTGAAAGAAATTGGTACCTTCAATGAAATCAATATTAACTTTTTTCTGTAGCAACTTCAGTATCATGAATTGAATTTATTACCTTCACTGTAATCAATATTAACCTCTATATCTTCATCAACAAAGTGATTTTCGTCTTCATCATTATTTGCCTCCTCTGTATGTTCAGCAATGAAAGTATTAACAATATAGAATCTGAAAACAGAATGAAAAATTAAACAAAAAATCAAAAAACTAACCTAAATTAGGATTACTGCTTTCTCCTGTTTGAAATCCGTCATTATATAGTGTATCATTATCAGGAAAATCGAAATCTTCAATTCCATTTCCATCATCACTAGCCAAATAATGTTCCTCATACATATGATTATTGACATCTGCTTCTTGATCGCCCATTGCTAAGAAATTCCGAGAGTGTTTGTCTATGCTTTGTTAGTTAAAAAATCAAAATATTTAAAAATGTCATACAAACTAGATAGGGATGAAAACGGATTCTATGCAAATTAAAAGCCTTGATATTAGGGATCATTGATAAAAATAAATGATTCCGATTTGATTTTTTTTAAAAAACATGATAAAGGGAAAACATGAAAACGGTACTATATTCACATTCCAAATATAAAAAATTCCAACATTACATTATATTAACTACTTAACAATAAAATTATGTATTTTTTTAAAGAAAAGTTGCAGAATATTTTATTAACGAAAGTATTCGATTAGAATGATATATAAATATGCCTTACAAAACTCTGCATGTTATCGGAATGAAATAATTCTATCAGAATGCTATCGGAAGTATGACTTATAAAACATATCAATTTTTGTTAACTCGAATCAATGCACGCATAAACAACTCTTGTTAACTCGACTCTACTATGATATTCTGTTAGAAAGATAACCTGTATGATCATATAACACATAAATATATCATAGAACACGAACAACTTATTAATTTTAACCATAATACTTAAAGAAAAACACATAGAATTCATCAAACGACAACTTTATTACACTGAACTGAAACTTGATAATACCATATAATTCCTCAAAAATTACTTTTATTTTACTGAAATCCAACTAAATAATATCTAAAAACGTCCAATTTGATGAAGTTCTTGTAGTTCTATGATTTCTTCAATCCAGAAGGACAATTCTGCTATCATGACCAACTCCAAAGCATG